AAAGACAATTAGTTTACAGACAGTTCATTCATAGACTGATCATTTTCATTTTGTAGACAATCTTTAACTCTGATTCAGAAGTTATTTGCTATTAAAGATTGTCTATAAAATGATCTGCCAATAAAATGAACTATCTGTAAATTAATTGTCTTTAAAATAAACTTGTCTATGAACTGAAACAAGATGTCTGAAATAAACTTCTGTAACTTATTTGTCACGCCTGATAATTGGTCACACCCAGCGGCAAATGGCCCGAAATTTAATAAAAATTAGAACTTATAATTATTAAGTTTTATTATACCACAAATGTATTATGTATACATATGCCATATTAATTGATACAAAAAATAAATAAATAAATAATAAAGCTTTCGAATGTTTAATTTTAAATATATTTTCTCACATTTCTTATTTATTTTTAAAAATGAAATAACACAACTTTCTGGCATGTGAAACCTTTGATCAAATACTAAATAAATAAAAATAAATAAATATTAATGACTCAAAATGCTTTTTTTATAATCACCACCTAGTGCAAATTTGACCTGTCCATTCTTTAAATAGCATGAACAGTTTAACAATTGACAATTTAAAGTATAAGCTGCCAAAGAACTAACTGCTCTTCTAATGCTTGTTCTGCCAAAGAAGTAGCTTGCTATGCACACGACGAAGTGGGTGTATTCTACATGATGAATGTAAAAATCGATTATAATTATTTTTAAATTTTTAGGTATACGAATTTTTTTATATGTTTTTTTTTATTGATAGTGATTTTTTTTAATTTTATATGCAAAAATTTTATGATTGTTTATTTATGCAAAAGAACGTTTACAATATGATTAATATTTTATTATCGATCGTATAATTTTATCATCTGATCGTATAGTTTTATGTTTTTTAAATTTTCTCATCGATTGAGAAATAACGTACGTTGTTTCAAAATTTAAGAATGACTTAGGCCTAAATTGTGAGATGACGCAGAACATATATATATATTATTAAAAAAAAACTTATAAAAACTTTTTTTTTTTGTTTAAAAAAACCTTTAATGCATAATAAACGTATACATCATTGCGTAACAAACATAATAGAACAAAAACTAGAAGCGCCCACCCGCTTCAGTTAGAACAAAAATTTTAACTCATCCACCCGCTTAGATTAAACTCGACCCATTCACCGCTCGCCCTGGTTGGAATAAAAAAAAACTTCAAAAACGACGAAATTCACTTCGAACCACGAAATTGCACCTACAACGACGACTTCAGCGACGATTCTAAAGAACCCGAAAAAAGGATGAAAATTAGCAAACAAGTCGTCAAAAAATAATATAGGTAAAAAAAAAAAAACATAAAAAATACCGAAAAGAAACCCTCAGAAGCGAAGTCGAAGTTTCATTTTAAAGATTTACACCACAAGCGCCGGATGTAACGAGGAACCTAGAAATCCAAAAGAAAAAAAAAGGCAATATATTAAATACACAAAAAAACAACATTATAATTAAAGAAAAAACACCAAGAACGTGAAAAAAAACACCGGGAAACGAAGCAAAAGATCCACACCATAAACGCCAGAAGCAATAAGGAAGAAACCTAAGAACCTAAAAAGAAAAAGAAAGTTGCTGTGGGCCGCCAAAGAAAAAAAAAGCCAAGAACGCCAAAAAGAAATACTGGTAAGCGAAACCGAGGGTCCACTTCAAAAAGCCATATCATAAATCCGGAGGTACCAAGGAAGAAGTCTAGGAGCCTATAAAGAAAAAGAAAAAAGATTAATATCCTAAACACGCACAAAGAATATACATATTAATTAATAAATATAAAGAAAAACGCCACAAATATCGAAAGTAACGAGAAAAAAAAGATTAATATATTAGGTTGGCATTGGACAATGTCCAAATAAATTTAATTGGACAATTGGACATAGTCCAAATGTCCAAATAATTTTTTTGGACCTTCAGGCATTGGACAATGTTCAAATAAATTGTAAGATTATTGGCAATTGTCCAATAATTTTATTTGACAATTTTAATAATATGACAACAAAAGCTTTATTGCTTTTAACTACAATAATGACGTTTATCAATTTTATTTTTATTTCTTATAACTTTTTTTTACTCTTTAATTTGCAATGATAATTTATTAATGAAGGTTTCTAATTCAAAGTGTCGACCTTGGCTAATTTATTTTATTTTGTGTTTTCTTTTATAATATGCCTTTATTTTAAAATTAAAAATAAAATCAACTGTTGTCATTATATATATAATAATAATAATAATAATAAATACGCGAAAACGCTGAAATGGAAAAGGAAAGTAAATGAAATAATCCTACATGCCCACGAATCAACCCGATGACTTGGTATAAGTGAAAATTACTTATTGAACATTTTATCCCATCATTCAACCTTTCAATCGATTCTATGAGATAGCATCTTCATTTGATGAAAGAGACTATTGAACCTATGATTGAGGTTGTATGCGACTTTCCTTCCATTCATTGATTCGTTTAGGCTTCATGACTAGGGAAAATGGCACGGCAAAAAAATTTAACATGCCATTTGCTAAAATTCGTACCAGGATGCCACGTGATAGGTATACTCAATTTAGATTGGTCAGTTATTACGTACTATATAAACCTTCTTTAGGAATATTCGGAACTCTGCTCTTGACCTTTCTCATACTTGGAATGTTCCGAAATAACATATCCTATTGACCGTTTGAATATTGGGCATGTCCATGGCATGCCTATGACATCTGTGCCACTCTCCCTATTCATGACTATGACATTGGGTGACCAATGTAGAGAACTCGGGTTTTCCATCATAAACCAATCCTGGGTTTATCGAAATTTACCGACAGCCACTTTCCTGGCAATTATTTTCTCGATAATTATTTCCACGACAAACATTTCCCCGATATGACCATTTCCCCAACAATTACGTCAGGTTGGGGAATGGCCATGTCGAGGAAATGTTTGTCGGGGAAATGGTTGTTGAGAAATGGTTATGTCGAGGAAATAATTGTCGGGAAAATAGTTATCAGAAAGTATATATGGGTGCCTAAATTATTTTTGGCTTGCCGTAAATAAAAATTGCCGAAATATTTTAGACAGCCTAAACCGTAAATAATTTCGGCTGCCGAAAATATTTCCGGTTGCCTAAATAATTTCGGCTGCCTAAAATAATTTCACTTCCAGATGCAGAAATTATTTTTTTGCGTATTGTGCGTAAATTTAACTGACAATATTTTCAAGTTTTTTTTTGATTACTAAATATTATTGCTTCATACTTATCTACTAATTATTTTTCTTTTATTTTTTCGTGGTAACCTTGATCTAATTCTTTCGCTTATCTCAAATGCATGTTCGGAATTCGAAGTAGCCATTGGTATATACATATGGGTCTAAGTATTTTAGGCTTACCGAAAATATTTTATAATGCTAAACACTTAAAATGATAATATTTATTTTATTGCCTAGTACTAGATAATGCGTAACATTGTATGTTAGGAACCCATATAATTAACAACGCATGCTATGTACTGACATGCCTTTACACTAAAATACAAGATTAAAACGCGCGCGGATGGACAAAAATTACTGTTTTGATACAATTTTTCATAATAGTTACGCAGATGTATCAAAAAAGTATATTTTTATATCAAAAGCGTAATGTTTATATCACCTTATGTAGAGATTGAGTTCTCCACTACGTACGCTCTGAAGGACTTTAGGTAGTGCATTCACAAAAATTATTCCTCTGTAATTCTTAACCAAAATTAAGATCAAATGTAGTGTGACAGTCAAAACATACCAGGTACATTTAAGAAGTTGCATGTAAAATCAAAGCCAATAAGCCAAGTACGTATTAGAGTTAGATCAATGCGGCTTTTATTAGCAAAATTTCACAAGAGCATCCTTAATTAGAAGTGGTTTCCTAATTAAAATTTAGAGCTACAGTCGCACCCCCTAAGTGCACGGTATATGAAAAACCTCTAAGTGCACATCCCTCTTGGTCCCAAATATTATAAATTTTAACCCCTCTAAATGCACACCCCTTTAAGTGCACATTTTGACTTTTTTTACTATGGTCCCGAGGGCGTGCACTTAGAGGGGTTGTTTTTTCTTTTCGATTTATGCGTTACACCTGTTCTTGAAATTCGATTGGTCAAAATTAAAAGGTGGCACATAGGATACGATTTTAGCTCACAGCTATTATCATAATTTCTGGGACACCTGTAAAAATTTGCCGAATGATTTTTCCGCCGAACCGGTTAAGTTATTGATTCGGCATGATCCGTATAATAAAATAATCAATAAAAGCTATTTTTTTATCATAATGATCATTTTACGATTGTCATAACAATAATGTCAACGATTTTAAATTTTCGTTCGAATGCTTGTCCAACATGTTTGTGTGCTTAGTTTGTACGAAAAATTTATGGAAAAAACTGTTCATGTCAACCAATAAACCTTAACAAGAAACGTAAAAAAGGAATCGAATATAAATT